TATATATATATATATATATATATATATATATATATATATATATATATATATATAGTTGAATAGTGATGAAAATGAATCATGACATTTTTTTTATGAGCATTATAATTAGTAGTTAGATAACAGAGATAATTATCATATTAATGTAAAGAACAAGTTTTATCTAACAATTACAGAAAAATTATAAATAAGTTTTAAGATTTTTTTTTCTTATAATTTTTTAAATAAATTTTTACAAAAAAAAACTTATTTAAAAAAATTTCATTTTTCAATGCTCTAAAAAATGAAAAATTTAATTTTTTAGAACCAGTTTATTTGTCAAAAAAATAAAAAAAATGTCAAGTATTTACTAATTTCAGTGTATTATTTTTTTTTTAAATCAACTGTCGGAAGTGTATTTAAAAATATTAATATTACTAATTATTCTCCATTCATAACTAAAAAAAAAAAAAAACATTGTTTAAAATAAAAAAAAATAATTAAAAAAAAATAACCGGATACTAAAATGACAATTATTAATTACAAGATCCATTGTTCGGCAATTAATAATTAATATAACAAAAATAAGGTGAAATGTAACGAAACTTTCACAGAGAAAGATTATATACTTGAAAAATCATCTCCCTCGGCGTTCGTTTAAATAAATAATTTTAATATTCGTCCACGTGACTGAGTCAATGACTTGACACCGCCACTAACAAAATCACTTGACGTATATTTATTTATTTACTCTCTAATTAAATAATTAAATTACTGAAGATAAATACTTACGCCTCGCAGTAAGGTTGTTTGTTGAAACCCTTGTAAGTCCTCATATTGAGGGTCATATTGCATCCTTGGCACTTGAAACACTGCTTGTGCCATATCTAAAAAAAAAAAAAAAAAAAAAAAAAAAAATATGTCAATCATCTATTTATTTATCGCTTCAAATTTAATTACAATAAATAAATAAAATAGTTAAACTCGATAATGAATCAGATTACTGAAAATAAAAGTGATCATAGTAATAGTAATAAATTAATCGTAATTCTCTTTCATTTAATTAATTCATGACATCATTTAAACGTGGCCGTGAGACCGAGAGAGTATTGAGAACGTCAAACAAAGCAATTACATTCACTACCCCTCTCTTTTATTATTCTTCTAAATTTTTTTAGGCAAGATTAAAAAAAAAATAGTATTTTCCCACGTAAATTAGACGTTTCCTCCGACAGTGTACAGTTTTATCACCGTTAAAAATAAATATTTTCCTTGTAAATTGAGACATTAAAATGTCTGACAGTCGAAGAAGGTTAACTACTACCGGTTACTTTTTCTTCAGGCGAACATTCAGCTGTCTTTAAAATAACCCACTGCCCTTACAGAAGTTAAATAAAAACTAATATTTAAAAATATAAATATAAATACCAAAAGTAACTAACCTTATCCAGACACTTGAGTTCCTCGATGGGATACACAGTTTTTTCACACCGGGCACACGTCTTATTCATTATAAATAATAAAACGCTCGTATCTCCAAAAATAAATTTATTTATTTGTTATTCTTCAAGTAAACTGTCGCTCGGCAAAACAAGTCCTGGAGAACAGAAAGCTTTTCTTACGTGGGTCTACGGTGCCAGCTTGCAATTTTTCGTTGATGCGTCACACACATTTAAAACCATACCAACTCATCCAAGAGATTGAGGATACAATACACAAATGACGCAAACCCATACACCAGTCGGATAATATTCAGGAAAATATATATATTTATATCCTTGTTGCACGTAGTAATATATATTACGTATATTTTAAATGTTATATATGCCGGAGTTTAATAAATAAATAAATACTTATTTTTTGCAGCTGATTGTTCCACGACTTGTATCTAGAATGTGAACCAGTCAATGAGTGTGTGTTTGTGTTGAATGGATCTCACACATATTTTTCATTTGTATCTAAGTCTTAAAATATATATGTATATATATATATATATATATACCTACGTGTATTACTGTATATTCTTGGACGTGTATGCGAGTAAAAGTATACCATACCACCACAATTGACGTTTTAATTCTGTAATAGTCGTTGACGAAACAAAATATCACTTTATCCTCTTTCTATTTCTTTATTCTTCCTCTTTTCTACTGCTACTACTAAGATGTGGTCATTAATACAGCCTGCTACACTAAACTTTTAACATAAAAAAAAAAAAATAGTCTAGGGTTTAAGTTTTTTTGTTGGCTACATTGAGAAATCTATATAGAGAGAATTTTTTCAAAAACAAACAAATTTTTCCGCCGCAGCAACCAGACTGGGCTGCGCGCGCATCAACGACAACGACGCGCTAAGAGCGCATGCGTCACAATTCAAATAGTTGTCCCGCTCCCTTGTATTCGTTCAAATTTCAATGCAATAAAATAAATAATTATAATTAATTAATAAATTAATATTTTACTAACTAACAAATAAATATTTAATTAATTAATAAATAAATATTTTATTTATTAATAAATTAGGATTTATGTAAAAATATGTTTATATTAATTAATCCCGTATGGAATTTCTCCAAATCCCCACAGGACTGTGTAAGGAGATATACATACTTCCGTATTATTTATTTTGGTTATTACTTGTCCTTGAATTTATCCGTCCTAAATGACTCATAATAGACAATGTTTGCATTTACATATACAAAATAGTATATGTGAATGTTGTCTTTCTCAAAATTGCCAAATTATGAATGCGCATGCTTCTAAAATTTTCTCGAAGAAAATAGAGGTACTCTATTGTGGATTTGGACAATTTTGCGGAGTACTTGAAGTCGACTCAAGTATTGAGAACTATTTGGATATTATTTTTTTTTTTTATCATATAATTATATAAATAAATAAATTAAAAAATAAATAAATAAATTAAAAAATACTTAAATTAATTAAAAAATAATTAAATAAATAAAACATGGAATGGACAAAGTGTGAGCGGGGGTGTGATTTTTGCGAGATACCCGTACGCGAACTCAAAGAGACCAGAGACAGGTTTCAAAGGTATCTAGAAGACCTAACGGGCTCCAAACTAAAGAATACAGACCTGGAAGAAATTTTTAATGGTTTCCAGGTCAAATTTGCAAAAAAGGTAATATATACATTGATATTTTATTTATTATAATTTTTAAATTTTTAAACATTTTTCGATTATTTTATTTTACTTTTACAGGAAATTCAATTTGACAAAAAGAAATGCCAACATTCTCAAATTTTAGTTCAGGATTTGGCTGATTTCAATTTAATGATCTTGAAATTTCTATCTGTACACAAACAAGATCGATGGAATTGATATCCAGCCTGAACATTCAATAATAATAATAAAAATAAAAATAAAAATAAAAATAAAAAAAAAAAAAAAAAATAATAATAATAATAATAATAACAATTAACTAAAAATTATTAAAAAAAAAATTTTAATTTTATTGACCGCTTAAGATTATAAAATTCCGATTAAAGTTTATTGTTTATTTTAATTTAAACTTATTAAGGAACGCGAAATAAATTCAATTAGTCTTTATTGTATTTCACGTAGTCCAAAATAGCGGCATTCGGTACACGATTTCGCTATTTCGTCATATTTTTTACTGGGAACTATTTATTTATTATTTTAATTGTAAATAAATTAGCAAAATTTAATAGAAGAGGTTGATGGTTGGTGGTAGTAATTTATTTATTTAGAAAAAACAATTTAGAGATTAATAATGAGCGACTTTCATTCATCTATGAGATGTATTTCACCGAATGCAAGATAGTTATTCAGTAATTTATTCAATTTATTTATTTATTTAATGATTTTCATATTGTAATTGTAAATAACTTTTTCAGTATGCTAGCTGCAAAACAGCAGGCTTAACAGAAGCTGGATTTGAGACTAGCACAGACTAGAGTAAAGAATAGTTTCAATGGTTTTTGATCAATGGAGCATTTTTAAGTGGGTAATTATTTAATATGTAAGTTTTTTTCATTAAAGAATTAATGTTTACTAATTTAATTGTTAATTTTTTAATTTATCTAAAATAAAATTTGATAATTAAATATTGAATTATACGAGCTGTTAAAGTACAGAATATAATAATTGAACAATTTTAAAGTTTTAATTAAAAAAATTTAATATTTAAAAAAAAAATAATAGTCGCCGAATATATTTTTTTTAAATAGTCGCCGGGCAAATTACTCCTTGGAACGCTCCGATTATTCTTCTGGCTCTTAAATGGGGACCTGCTTTGGCCGTGGGATGTACTGTGGTAACTAAACCTGCGGAGCAGACTCCACGGTGTACTTTGTACATTGCTGCACTGACTAAAGAAGCTGGGTTTCCTCCAGGAGTTGTCAATGTTGTTCCTGGGTTTGGGCCCACCGCGGGAGCTGCTCTTGCTGAACATCCTGATGTTGCTAAAATTGCCTTCACTGGATCTGTTGAGGTATAGGAATTTTTTGGCTTGAGTTTGGAAAGTTTACTTGCAGTTTGGGATTTTTTTAAGTGCTTTAATTGTTTCCAGGTTGGGAAATTGATAATGAAGGCTTCGGGAAATAGTAATTTGAAGCGCGTGACTTTGGAACTTGGCGGGAAGAGTCCTTTGGTTATTTTTGATGATGTTAATGGTGAGTAATAAATTTGTAATTTATACTTGAATAGTCATTGATAATTAGAGTTCAAATAATTGAAGCTGTTTTGATATCTTTGTAGTGGATAAAGCGGTAAAAATAGCCCACGAAGCAATCTTCACAAACAGTGGCCAAATTTGTTTCGCTGCATCTCGAACTTATGTTCACTCAAAAATCTACGATGAATTTGTCGAAAAATCTAAAGACTTGGCATTGAAAAGAAAAGTAGGGAATCCCTTTGATCCGGCTACAGAGCAAGGACCTCAAGTAGAAAAAGAAATATTTGACCGGGCGCTCAAGTTTATTGAAATAGGAAAAAAAGAAGGCGCGAAATTGGTCACTGGCGGCGAGCGCGTAGGAAATAAAGGAT